TTATGTGGCAGACACTATGCTAGGTGCATTTTTACTATTCACTTTCTTGACTGTTACCACGGTTATGTAAGAGCTTACTATGCCACAGATGACAGTTCACTTTTGCCTGTTCTTCCACTCAGTTCAAGTGCCTCCTCCTCCTCCACTTGGATCTGCTCTTTCTGTCTTCCCATGACACTCTATGCCTTTTCAGAGCACTAGTTCTCTAGAGTTAATTCTTGCCTATGATCCTGGATTACTGTCTTTGTTAGGTACAATTCCTGCCAATCTGCGTGGGCCTCTTGAACTGAGGACAACATTCTAACAGGGCCCGGCCTAGGGTGAGACCAGAAGCCAGACTAAATGCAACGGAACCTTATGCTCCCACAGCCAGATCTTGCCAGCCCTGTGCATCCCAGCAGCATCTTGCAGGATTCATCCAAGCGCGTGCAGACACCCAGCCTGCCTCAGCCCTCCGCTGCTGGCCTTCAGGGCGTCTAGTGCCTGGGGTGTTGCTGGCACTGTGTCTTGGAAGGAAGTGAAGCAAAAGCATTGGGACAAGGGGAATTATAATGTTCTCAAGAGTGTTGGGCTATAGGGCATCTGGGTCCTCCTGTGGAGGCCCCCAGGCTGGAGGCAAGCTGGGAGTCCCTGCCAAGCCTCTCTTCCTCTAGTCACTGGAGTCTCTTTGCATTCTGACATTTACAACCCAGCCTGCATGCTCAGGTTATGGGGTGGGGCTTGCCAGAACCCACACCCTGGGTCTTGTGGGCAGGAATTCCAGAGGTGCTGCCCCTGGTGGGACTGGGCAGCAAGCAGTAGATGGAGCCTCCCCAGAACCTTGGCATCACCAAGCCAGCTCCCTGGCTGGGGACACAGTACTGGGCAACACACGTCCACGTGCAAACCTCAGGCACTCATTTGTAAAATGGAGATCATGCTCATAGAGCGTGGGGTTGCCTTGACTGTGGAGCCAGGTGGATTCAGGAAGCAGCAGCCTCCTGGGGTGTTGCAGGGGGTGATGTGAATGCAGGAGAGAAGTCAATAAAATGAAAATTCTATGGATGGAAGCAATTGTTTTTGCTGTTTATGTATGTGCGTGTGTTTCCTTGGTAGGAAGTGGCAGTGGTGATTTTTTTTTTCTTTTTTTGTCCCTTGACATGAGCCATAAAGTCCTTAAAAAGCCTCATAGAGCTGAGTTTGGTGAACTGGAGGGAGCCGGGCCCCAGACACTTTAAACACAGCTTCAAGAAACTCCCTTCCCTTTTTGGGGATTCAGTTTCCCCACCTATGAGTAAGGAAGTTGAACCTCCTGCTCTGGCCTGCTCTCTGCCAGCTGTTTAAACTTCCTCCCCTCTATGCCACACATATAGACAGAATGGTTCTGGGGATGCTGAAAGACATGGGATGTCATGCAGCACAGTGTATTTAAATCTGCCTGATACGGTTTTAAGATAAAACGGGCTAGATTCAGGACCAGAACAGGCCAGATGCCTTCCAGTGGTGGGAGGGAATCCAGAACTGACCTGTTATGTTAGGCCATTCTTTCACTGCTATAAAGAAATACCTGAAACTGGGTAATTTATTAAGAAGAGAGGTTTAATTGGCTCATGGTTCTGTAGGCTGTACAAGCCTGGAGCCAGCATCTGCTTAACTTCTGGGGAGGCCTCAGGGAGTTTTTACTCATGGTACAAGTCAAAGCGGGAGCAGGAGCATCACATGGCAAAAGCAGGAGCAAAAGAGAGAGAGTGGGAGTGGGGAGGGAGGTGCCACACACTTTTAGATGACCAGACCTCACGAGAACTCACTCATTGTCTTAAAGACAACACCAAGCCATGAGGGATCTGCCCTCATGACCCAACTATCTCCCACTAGGCCCCACCTTCAGCACTGGGATTACAATTCAATATGAGATTTGGGTGGGGACAAATATTCAAACTCTAACATTCCACCCTGGCCTCTCCCAAATATCATGTTCTTCTCACATTACAAAATACAATTATGCCTTCCCAATAGTTCCCCAAAGTCTTAACTCATTCCAGCATTAACTCAAAAGTTCAAAGTCCAAAGTCTCATCTAAGACAAGGCAAGTCACTTCCACCTATGAGCCTGTAAAATAAAAAAAACAAGTTATTTACTTCCAAGATGCAATGAGGGTATAGGTATTGGGTAAACATTCCCATTCCAAAAGGAAACAATTGACCTAAAAAAAAAAAAAAAAAAGGGACTGCAGGTCCCACACAAGCTTAAAACCCAGCAGGGGAGTAATTAAATCTTAAAGTTCCAAAATAATCTCCTTTGACTCTATGTCCCACATCCAGGGCACACTGGTGCAAAGGATGGGCTCCCAAGGCCTTGGGCAGCTCTGCCCCTGTAGCTTCACAGGGTATAGCCCCTGAGGTTGCTCTCAAAGGCTGGAGTTGAGTTTCTGAAGCTTTCCCAGGCACAAGATGCAAGCTGCTGGTGGATCCATCATTCTCAGATCTGAAGGACAGTGTCCCTCTTCCCTCTGCTCTACTAGGCAGTGTTCCAGTGGCAACTCTGTGTAGGGCCTCCAACCCCACATTTCCCCTCTGCACTGCCTTAGCAGAGGTTCTCTGTGAGGGCTCGGCCCCTGCAGCAGGTGTCTACCTGAATACCTAGGCTTTTTCATACATCCCCTGAAACTAGGCAGAGGCTGCCCAGAATCCACCACTCTTGCATTCTGTGCACCTGCAGGCTTAACACCACATGGAAGCCACCAAGGTTTAAGGCTTACATTCTCCAAAGAGGCAGACTGAGCTGTACTTGGGTGTGTCTGAGCCACTGCTGAAGCTAGAGTGGCCAGGATGTGGGAGTAGTGTCCCAAGGCTGTGCAGGGCAGCAGGTTCCTCTGCCTGGCCCAGGAAACCATTCTTTCCTCCTAAGCCTGTAGGCCTGTGATGGGAGGGGCTGCCACAAAGATTCCTGAAATGCTTTCAAGGCCTTTTCCTCATTGTCTTGGATATCAGTACTTGGCTCCCTTTTAGTTATGCAAATATCTTTAGCAAGTGGTTGTTCCACAGCCTGCTTGGATTCCTCTCCTAACAAAGCTTTTTCTTTCTTTGTCACATAGCCAGGCTACACATTTTCCACTTTACACTCTGCTTTCTATTTAAATATAAATTCAAACTTTAAGTCATTTATTTGCTCCCACATGTGAGTTAGGTTGTTAGAAGCAGCCATGCCACTTCTGAAACACTTTGCTGCTTAGAAATTTCTTCTGCCAAACACTCTAAATCATCACTGTGAAGTTCATTCAAACATCCATAGATCCCTAGGGCATGAACACATGGCAGCCAAGTTCTTTGGTAATGCATAACAAGGATGACCCTAGCTCCAGTTCTCAATAAGTTCCGCATTTCCATCTGAGACCTCTTCAGCCTGGCCTTCACTGTCCATGTCCAATAAGTTCCGCATTTCCATCTGAGACCTCTTCAGCCTGGCCTTCACTGTCCATGTCACCATCAACATTTTGGTCACAACGATTTAACCGGTCTCTAAAAAGTTCCAAACTTTTCATCTTCCTGTCATTTTCTGAGCCCTCCAAACTCTTCCAGCCTCTACCTGTGACCAAGTCCCAAAGTTGCTTCCACATTTCCAGGTATCTTTTAGCAATGCCCTACTCTCAGTACCAATTTTCTATGTTAGGCTATTCTTTCACTGCTGTGAAGAAATACCTGAGTCTGGATAATTTTATAAAGAAAAAAGGTTTAATTGGCTTAGGGTTCCGCTGGCTGTACAAGCATGACACCAGCATCTGTTTAGCTTCTGGGGAGGCCTCATGGAGCTTTTACTTATGGTGGAAGTGAACTGGGAGCAGGCACATCACATGGTCAGAACAGGATCAAGAGAGAGAGAATGTTGGGAAGAGGTGCCACATACTTTTAAATGATCAGATCTTGCAAGAACTCACTCACTATCTCAAAGACAGCATCAAACCATGAGGGATCAGCCCCCATGACAAAAACACCTTCCATCGGGCCCACCTCCAGCACTGAGTATTACAATAATTCAACATGAGACTTGGGTGGGGACAAATAACCAAACTATATCACCTGTCTTGGAATATTTCTGGATGGTGGCATGGAGGGAAGGGGGAGGTGAGGCCTGGTGGCAGGGCAGTAGTCACCTTCTGAGAACTGGCTTGAGCCAGTAGAAACCATCCTCCATGGTCACACCCATCACCCCTCCCATGCTCAGGACTGGATAATGGAGTCAGGGACCATATGCTGGCCCTGGATGGACCCCAAGAGACACAAAGACCAACTCCATCCTTTAACAGAGTCAGCCTTCGATGCCAGAGCTTGGAAGAGAACTGATCAAATTAGAGGCAGAGCCAAAAGACTGTACCTGGTGGGCTCATAATCATGGTCTGCTGGACAAACAGGTTATATTGGCTTCAAATGCCAAGGTAAAGTTTCAAAATTCTGGGGCTTAAAACAGGCAAGACAGGCCAGGCACAGGGTCTCATGTCAGTATTCGCAGCACTTTGGGAGGCTGGGGCAAGAAGATCCCTTGAGCCCAGGAGTTTGAGATTGCCTGGACAACACAGTGAGACCCTCATCTCTACAAGAAAAAAAGTTACGAATTGGCCAGCTGTGGTGGTATGCACCTGTAGTCCCAGCTACTTGGGAGGCTGAGGCTGGAGGATAGCTTGGGCCTCGGAGTTCAAGTTTATAGTGAGCCATGATCATGCCACCAGTCTGGGTGACAGAGTGAGACCCTGTCTCTTAAAGAAAAAAAAAGAAGAAGAAGAAGAAAGAAAGAAGAAAAAGAAGGAAGGAAAGAAAGAAAGATAGGAAGGAAGGAAGGAAGGAAGGAAGGAAGGAAGGAAAAGAAAGAAAGAAAGAAAGAAAGAAGGAAGGAAGGAAGGAAGGAAAGAAAGAAAGAAAGAAAGAAAGAAGGAAAGAAAGAAAGAAAGAAAGAAAGAAAGAAAGAAAGAAAGAAAGAAAGAAAGAAAGAAAGAAGAAAGAAAGAAGAAAGAAAGAAAGGAAGGGCGAGCAAGCGAGCCTAATCTATATTAGAAGTCTGGATAGTGGGCACTTTGCTGGAGTGATTCCTGGGAAGGAGCACCGGTGAGCTTGGAGGATGTTGGAAATATTCAATTTCTTGTCCTGGGTGCTCAATACAAGGCTGTGGCAGTTTGTGAAAATTCATCAAGCTATGCGGATGATATGTGTGCACTGTACTTCAATACAAATATTGTTTAAAAAGAACTAAAATAAGGAGAGGAGCATGTGGCTTCGACGCTGTTCGGCAGCCCCGGGGCGTACGGGAGAGGACGGTATGTTTCAAACACCCCCAGCTGTAACCATGGGAGTGGGGAGTGTCTGAGGGCTGGCCACCAGCGCATATTGGCAGAGCAAACACACGGGCCTCCGAACACACTGTCCCCGCTGTGTACACAGGGTGTTAGGCCAGGCTCCACCGAGCTGCACTTCATGGTAACAAAGACAACAATGCCGCCATCTCGTAATCGTCAATAGCATCGCTGCACTCAAGTCTTTGGTCCAATATTTGCAGAGCCAGAGGAGCCACGTCTACTTTGCGATATTGACTTAGATTTATCACTTACCAGAGAAACCTGAGTGCCCAGGCCCGCCTGCTCATTCACTGTGGCCTTTGGGAGGTGTGTGGCCTTAGGCAGAATGTGTGGGGTCATGGAAAGCCAGCCTCCTTCATTTCATGGCTGTTGTCACTATTATCTTGCCCGTGTACCCTGGAGTCAGGCTGTGGAGAGGGGTCATGAATCTCCAGACTGCTGATTACGATTGCCCGATGTCCTCTGTAATCCAATCTACAAGATTTGGAAAGAAGTGAGTTGGCGAAAATGAAGCATGGAGTTCATCTTTCTGAATGGAAGTTTTCAGGAAATGGCGATTATAAAGCGTTTCTTCACAAAGAAAAGCTTTCTTTTTCATAAGGAAAGGACATTCCTTCTTCATAAATGGGCTAAACCCTATGAATGCCTACGCTGGCTTCCAGCTCAGGCTTTCACTTCTCCCAATAATTTCTGAGTGAGACACTGTACCATGGACAAATACAAGAGACTGCTTTCCAGAAACTCATGTTGCCCAGGGAGGCGGCTCCCGCTTTGTGAGCTCCAGGGCCCCAGTGGCCGGCCATGACCTGTGACCTCCTCGCTCTCGGCCTCGCTGTCAGCTGGAGAATGCGAGGGGCCAGCCTGCATCAGCTGGACAGGGAGGGCCTGGACACGCTGCCCGGAGGCTCTGCTGTCCATGAGGGGCTGACCCCTCACTGCAGGTGCTGTGTCCCTAGGGCAGCCCGAGTGCCCAGTCAGGGGGCAAGAGCTTAGACACCCCCACTCAGAGAGTGCTTCTCTTTCTCCCATTTTCTCAGAAGGGCTCTGATGAGACCCCCTGCCCTGCCCTGCCCTCTCTCTGCCTCCAGGGCTCGCACATTCAGGGAGGCCTCCCATAACCATTAATTTAGCCAATTTCCTGGGCCACACCGTCCCCTGGGGACCCCACTTTGGTGGGCAGCAGCGGAACAAGACTCCCTGCTGTTTCCCTTCCCTTTTAATTACACGGGGACAAGCTTCCTTGGGCTGACTTTGGGAGGCAAGCCCCAGGCCGGCCTGGCTGCCCTCCACGAAACAATGCACACATGTTCCAGAGAATTCCCTCCTCGCCTAATCCGGGCTGGGAAGAAAAGGGCTTTTCTTCTTCTTGTCAAAGGGAGTCTTCGATGCTAAGATACCATTTTGTGTCTCAAGTCATGTCACGGGACTTCTGCCTCGGCCTCGCTGCCCGCTCTTTGGAAATGAAAGACACAGTCCTCGATTCACCTCAGGACAAGTGCCCCCACCCTGCCCTCCTCTGAAAATGAAAGGGGGTTGGGGGCCAAGGGAAGCGGGAAAAGCTCCCAACTCCCACTGTTTCTTTCTCATCCTGGCAACCTCGGCTTTCTGAACTATTTGCCCAAAGGATGAGTTGGGAGGGCTGAGCCTCACCTGCTGATCTCAAGGGTCATGAATATTCTTATAATCCCCTGGAAAGAAGGGCCCTTTCATTAGAGGAGCGGATTCAGTCCTTCGGTGTTCCCACCACCTCCTGCCCACCGGCCTGGCCTCTGCTCCGCGGTCCGGCTCCGCAGCCTCTGGGTCCCTGCTGACTTTTCGGCTACTCGCGTAGACTGGAAGAAGCAGCGGATTTTCATAAGGCACTGCTACGCTGCTTTCCCTCACTCACCCGTGTCCCTAGGTTGTAGAAGAGTTAAAAGACATAACAAGAAAAAAGCTACAGACATGCAACCTGCCGCTTGGCGTCAGTAAACGTGAGGCAACATGCTTACCGACTCACTGGTAGTTGAGTGTTTAAGTTCACACTTTACCTCACCGGACACAAGGATCTGAGGTCACTTTTGGAAATCCCCACAATAATGCAGATGAAGAAATCCAAGTTACACGAGGGAAAAAAAGGGAGCAAAATGAAATCAAGTCAAGGAAAAATTTAATACCATTAAATTAAGGACTGAATCTGCTTTTCTAATGAAAGGGTTCATCTTTCTAGGGGGTTATAAGACATATAATGTAAGGCTCCATGTGAGAGCAACGATAGCCTGATCATTTAGTTTTGGGTTTCCTAGCGGTCAAAAGAAAGGGAGGAAAATGGTCAATAGGAGGTAAGAACAAAGTATTTGCACAGGGCAGCACAGTTCTCCCTGATGCTGGGTTCTCTCTCTCTGTCAACTGTGGGTCCTCAAACAAAAACCCTGGTGTGCCGCATTAAAAATGTCATCATTAATATCCCTGCGCTAAGGTCAGCGTTTCATTAAGCATTGCTAAAATGGGTTGAAATTGGATTCTCTGTATCTTCTTAAGAAAAATACCGACCTGTATGATAGCCCACGTTTTCTTCAGAAACCGTAAGTGCAGCTTATTGAGTTGGTGCCACACAGGTAACACCCTTAGGGGCCTCTCCTGAACAGACATGAATGCACAGGGCTTGGACTGTGAACTGGACTGTTCACTCTTCCAGGCCCAAGCCCACAGCACCAGCACCAGCAAAGCAGTTGGAGCCGCAGTGGCTCCACAGCAGAGCTGGGCCCTGACTGGAAGCAGGGCACTGAAATGTCTGCAACCCTTTGCTTAGCAGAAAGAGTGGAGGAAAAACCTCTGGAGAGTAAGTTGTACTTGTGTCAGCGTTGGTGAGCAGACACTGCAGGAGAGGGGCAAGATTCCATCAGTATTTTTTTCTTTTTTTGTTTTTCTTTGAGATGGAGTCTTATTTTGTCGCCCAGGCTGGAGTGCAGTGGTACAATCTCAGCTCACTGCAACCTCCGTCTCCCTGGCAAACGATTCTCCTGCCTCAGCCTCCTGAGTACCTGGAATTACAGGCGCCTGCCACCACGCCCGGCTAATTTTTGTATTTTTAGTAGAAATGGGGTTTCACCATGTTGGACCTTGGCTTCCCAAAGTGCTGGGATTACAGGCATAAGCCACTGCGTCCAGCCAATTACATCAATATTTCTGATGCCATTCTTGTTTTTGGTTTGGAAACAATTATTGATAGATCTGAATGTAAACCAACATCGTCCGTAATAATAGCGAATAGTTTTGGACACTCACCATGTGCTAGACGCTTTGAAAGTGCTTTAAATATATTATCTAATTTTAACCCCAAAGCCCCTGAGATGGAAAACACACACACACACACACACACACACACACACACACACACACTGTGTGAAATGAGGAAATGAAGGCTTAGAGAAGAATTTGATACCACACAGCTTAAAACAGCAGAGCCAGGATTTTAACCCAGTACTGAGACCTGCAGGGCCCAGGGTCTTCACGAGCATACCATCCTGAGAAGAAAATCATACTACAAATCAGGAGGCCTGGAAGTCTTTGGTTCAGAGATCCAAACAAACTAGCTTTGTAAACTGTAACAAACTAGCTTTGCTATATTCTTCTTCAGGGATTCATTTTTGCCATGTTTTTGAACAGGGATTGGGTCTTCAAAATCCTGTATAGCCCCAACATTCAAATAAGCTTATTTATTCATTAGATCACAATGTATTGTGCCAGGCACTGTGTTATGGGAAATCAGGTGCAGTCAGTCTCTGATTTCTTAGAATCTACAATCTAAATGGGAAGACGGACACTGTGTAAGTAACTGGGAATGTCACATGCACGAAGAGGGCCAAGTTTAGGGTGCTACAGGAGAATATAAAAGACTTAAATTAGTCTGAGTTGGGAGCTAGGTCAGGGAAGGGCTCCCAGAGGAGGCGATATTTAAGGAGAGCCCTAAGGATAAGTAGCAGTAGGCCAGGCAAATGGGAGTTCAGGGTTGAGAAGAGGAGGCACAAAAGCCCAAGGTAGCATAAAGTGTATTTATAGACCCGAAAGCTGAAGTGCCTGAAGCACAGGGAAAAAGGAGGCTGGAGAAGGCAAGGGCAGATCTCACTGGGCCCCCAAAAGTCTTGATGACTCTGAACATTATCAGGACAGTGCCAGTCCATACTATGGCTTTAAGCAGAAAAATAACAATCATCTAGGATCTGGCTATAGTACAGAGGCTAGGCTGGAGGGAAGCAAGAGAGCAAATGAGTTAGGAGGCCCTGCAGATCATGACTAGGGCCAAGATGGTGACAGTGCAGATGGAAAGGCATGGATGGATTTGAGATGTTTGCATGTCTAGTTAATAGGCCATGGTGGAGATTTGATGTGGACATGGGGTTGGGGGAAGAGTCAAGGATGACTCCTAGTTTTTGACTTGAGCAAAAAGGTAAATGATGTAAATGATATTCCCATTTAGTGAAACAGAGCAGTGTGAAGTGAGTACAGGTGGGCAAGAATGACCATGAGTTTAGCTACGAGGTATCTTTGAAAAGTGCAAGTGATAATGTTGAATAGGCATCAGGAAGCACTGGCAATTAAATGAGAGTTGAGGCTATGGGAGTGGATAAAATCTAGGAAGAGAATATAGGTTGGGAGAGGGCCAGAACAGAGCCCTGAGGAGGAAGAACAGCCAGGAAGGTAGGAGAAAAATCAGAAGTGTGTGCTGTAATGGAAGCCAAGAGAAGCAAGTACTTCAAAGATGAAGTGGTCAGCGTTACAGAATACAGTAATGGGCGAAGTGAGGTTTGGCCTGAAAACTAGCTGATGAATGTAATGATGTGGACACCACCATGTCCTTAGGGATAACAGATCTGGTGGAGTGATACAGCTGATTTGAACATGCAACCAATACACCAGGGATCACTGCCATTTGCTGGCCTCGCTTCTGGCACTTGCCATTGATATAAAATGTATCCCAATTTCAGGTAAAGAAGCCAACAGGTAATTTTCATGGACAGTGCAGAGCTTCAGATATTTTAATCAAAGGGTCTGATCCTATAGGTAAGCCTCGTAGTACAAAGCAGTGATTGTCAAATGTTTAATTTCTTGAGAATTATTGAGTACCCCAAGAGTTTTTGTTTGTGTAGGTTATGTCTGTTGATATTTATTATATTAGAAATTAGAACTAGCTGGGTACGGTGGCTCATGCCTGTAACCCCAGCACTTTGGGAGGCAGAGGTGGGTGCATCACTTGAGATCAGGAGTTCAGGAACAGCCTGGCTAACATGGTGAAACCCCATCTCTACTAAAAATACAAAAATCAGCCGGGTGTGGTGGTGCGCACCTGTAGTTCCAGCTACTGGGGAGGCTGAGGCAGGAGAATCACTTGAACCTGGGAGGTGGAGATTGCAGTGAGCCAAGATTGCGCCATTGTACTCCAGCCTTGGTGACAAGAGTGAAACTCTGTCTCAATTAAAAAAAAAAAAAAAAAAAAAAGAGAAAGAAAAAGAAAAAAGAAATTAAAACTGAGAAATATTACTCAATTTATTTTAAAAACAAAACAATTACATGTTAACATAAATAACATTTCTGATGAAAAAAAACAAATATAGCAACAAGAGTAGTACCATCTTTCATTTTTGCAATTCTTTTTAATGTCTGGCTTGATAGCAGATAACTGGATTATCTTACCTGCTTCTGCATTCAATCTATTGTGATATGCCGTTTTGGTTGACGTGGATGTGGAAACCCTGGCCTTATGGAATTGAAAAAGGGAAGAATGTAAGAGCCATTTCAGGTTCTTGTGAGTCTTCTTTGATACTGCACCAACACTTAACAAAGGTTAGTTGTAATGTGGCATCTGAAACCGTATCAATGAACTTCTCATATTCTGTGAGCTAAACTCCTTTGGCCCAGCTCCCATTTTGTAGGCATCTTTACCCAAGTCTGATTTGTTAGCACAATGCATTAACCATTCGAGAAATACTAGTTCCCGGGGTTATGCAGCTCCTCCAACTGTTGACACTTTGCACTTTACAATACCCAAAAATCACATCCATTAATATCATTATCTCATCAGAAATACTTACACTGAAAAGCTGTCAAGCTCAATGACAGATACAAGTTTTTCAAAATGTTCATTCTTGCTTAAATGTGTAATTTGTATCATTGGCAATAAATACACAAAAGTGATTTTCCTCAAAGTGGCTGGCTCACTCTGCTTAGTTTGAGTAAATGGCTGCTGGATGACCAAGCCTGACTCATGTAGTTTGTCAGTCATTCTTTTAAGCAAAATGGTGTTCCTTGAAAAAAAAGTGGTCATTTATATCACACATTAAACAATTATACAAGTACTTTTTCTCAAGATCACCATTATCCATTATATGCACATGTTATCTGTGTACCAGACTTTTGTGTTTCTTTTGGAAAAAAATAGAGTGCATGGCAGTGAAGATGCCATAGTGCCTGTTAGGACCGGTGGTGCCACTGCCTTGATTCACACCAAGGCTCCAGTGCGGTGTGCTGTGGTTTTTCTACAACCAGGAAATGTCAACACAGTGAAAAGGGCAAATATTAGTATTATTATCAAAATCATGGTGACCTTGTGGACCACGGGAATGATCCTGAGGACCCCCAAGGACCCAAAGACCACCCTCTACCAACTGCTGGTACAGAGTGAGCACTGGCATTTCAGAAGGCAATCTAGTCATGGAGAAACCCTCCAGATGCCAAAAAAGGCAAAGATTTTCCCCTGAAAGTGTTTTATATCTTCAGTAAAGCTCTGTAATAAGTACTTCAAAGTTTAGTGCCAGAACCAAACTATTTAATTGTTTAAAATAATAGGATAATC